TTTAGACCCAGAGGCAGTATATGGAAGGGACTGGAGAGGGAAATGGAATAATTGCTTGGGGGAGGTAGACCCTATGGATCAATGAGTAATCTGTAATGGACACTTCACCATCGCTGTTTTCTGGAGTCAACTGTGTTTCTATGAGGGCGGAGATAGTTATTGGGAAAGCACTTCAGAGCACACCCACCAGAGATTTCAACAGGAGCAGGGTTTGAGGGAGATCTTTGGAAAAGAATCTAATTTGGGCATTTTGTTCGGAATAATTGAACTGCGGAGAAGGACCGAATTGCGGGACATTCTGCTGCATGACTGTCTTGACCTGTATGAGAGGTCGGGAGGACGAATAGGGTGGGATGTGGGGTGCGGTTCCGTGCGGGAGGACGCGAAGAATCCTTGCTGTACATAGGGATTCGCGTTACGGAGAATGGGAGGCTTTTCGTGCCAATGACTCAGATGGGATGAGTAATATGGATGTTGGCCGAGTAAAACGATCTTATACAACTTTGGATTGGAAGGCTTCTTGAAGCCAGCCCTTATATAAGACGGGATCAGGTACATTGGTGTCGAAGCGGTTGGGGGAGTTTCGGGTATCACCGCAGGGATAGGATGGAGGCCCTGGGTATTTGTCGTTTCTTTGGAAAGGGGGGGGGGCGAAGCCGCTGTCATCGCTTGGATGTCCACTCACGAGAGGAAGAGGAAGTTTACTGGGGGATAACGGATTTCAGGGTCGCTTGCATCCTTGTTACTTCTGAGAGCTTCCGTCCGCGGAGCTCGAGAGTGCAACGATGTGTCTTGGGAAACTCCGCCGGCATACTTGCAGGGTTTTTTCAAGGTCTCGATTTTGGCGAGGGCATCTGCTATCGCTGATTCCGAGTTGAAGGTGATTAAGATGCCTACCTTCGTCTTCTTCGATTTCCACATTAGCCACGATGCTCCGTTTGGATTGGATAGGGATGGGGCTGTAAGACAATAATGGTAAGGCTCACTGTTTGGCAGTACGCAGAAAACAATATGGTTGGCTTATTTTTGCGAATAGAAGACATTTATCATTTTATATCACTACAAAATTTTGGGTTGTCCGTTTCCAAAATCGTCCGCATCGTCAGCTCGGTTCATTTTTTATCCTTTCGTTTCCCCTTGTTCGTGATCGTGTTCTCTAATCCTCTCTTGATCAGTGTCCCCTTTTGCACTGTTCTGACTTCCTTATCGTTCCCAGATATTTCAAAGAATAATCTGGCACATTATATGATCCACTTTCATCGCAGTATATAAACTGCAGTCATGTTGAATGTGCTTTTTATTACCTTACTTCTCCGCTGTTTCTATATCATATTTTTGTTAGAACATTGATATATTTTCATCATCTTGATTATAATCCAAGCATGCTTCAAGGGCTTCGTGAAATATACCATTATTACCCCAAATTATAATCTGTCTGGCACTACTCGCCACTGTCTCTAGTTTGACTGCAGTGTCACGTATCTTTTGTTAGGACATCTTGATTGTTTGATCTGCAGTGCCACAATGTAAAGTTATCCTTAACTAACGCTGTCAAGTGACTTACGTCGTGATCTAGTACCGCGACTTTTTTCGCGGTTCGTGTATTATTGAATATTGTAGAACAAGGACAACTAGAGCTCCTTCAAGCGCTATCTCGGTGCTCCGCCAGTCGCGGGTTACGGACCCCGCATGTGGGTCAGTTCAGAATGCATGACTGAAGAGGAGAAATAGTTAGTGAGTTCTTATTCGGAGGATAGAGCAGGCGTTTACTATGTGGGGATAAATAAAAAACCCTTAGAGTGAAATTCCTATTTAGATTTCACGATAACACTAGAAATGGGATAAGAGCGAATAGACATAGTCTGAGATAGTCCTAGATAAAGCTCTGTTTTCNTGAGTGAATACTTATAAAATCAAGGAAAAAACAAAATTATCGTGCCTCAAATTTTCAACCGCAGGCGGTCAGGGTCAAGGTAGTGGTTAGGCTCTTAATTTCTGCACGACTGGCCAGTGGGTTCGTCATCCAGAATCTGCCACACGTCGCTCCCTGGAAAGAATCACCACAAATTTCCTAGTTTTATAGGTCACCAGATTAGTGATCGGATGATTTTATGTTTGAACCTCGAAAATACACCAATATATCCCTATTCATGTATTTCCCTATGCACCCTTGGACAACTAGGACCTTCTGCGTGAAATTTTACTGTGCATTCTGCGGATACGATGTCTGTCTTCAGAATCAATTAAGGTCCACGTTTCGGGCCAATCCTGTGTCCTTCTGATCTGGGGTGAGAAATAATATTTGTTTTGGAATGGACAGAATAAATGATGCGGAATCAATTATTGCTATTCTAACGACCGATAGAAACAAACCTTCTTGAGCCATTCAAGGAATTAAGAGGATCAGCCATCATCCAAGGTATTCTTTAAGGGTTTATTACT